TTGCAGCTTTTCCAAGCGCTCCACTGAACCCATTGACCATTGCATCCGACTTAACCATGAGGAGCTGTCCTTCTGGTGACCCCAACGATTCCCAACGAATGCGGAGGCGATGTGGCACCTCCTGCGGCGATAGGAAGCCACGGACCAGGGCAACTTGTAGCTCCTGCGCCGCATCGATTTGGTGCGTCCCAGCTGAAAAGGATAACTGGTCTGTCCTGGTTGTCCCCGATGTTGTGGCCACATTAAGAACAGGCACTCAAGTATACCATCTATGATGAAAAATATGGTTGAGATTTAGTTCCCCTCCAATTGGTTCTTTAATATGTCCCGCAGTCTCTTTCCTGTATCCATCTGGAATAAAATTCGGGAATCCCGTGCAAACGGCTCAGAAGACGCCTGTGCCTACGGTTTGGCGAGTAACATATATTTCCGCAGCTGGTTACGTGCAATTCAATCCAAAGCCATCCTTCTGAACTGCAGCACGATTTTGATCTCTTGGTGTGATTGCATCATGAAGAGCCCGAGGGAATGCATGGAGGCTTGTGCTTCAGAACAATACGCAGACTAAGACACGTGTTAGTGGTAAAGGGCCCCCCACCTCTCGGAAGATAAGTCGCCTGGGTGGCCCTTCCAACGTCATGGTGAAAAGTGAGGGATGCTTCAAGTGTCGATACCTCACCGTCTCGGACAAAGCTGCAAGCTCCCAATGTTGGAATTGTTTTTCTCCTGTTGATTCTCGTTAGCTCTCCAAATTTGTCTGGTTGTTTTTTTGCACCTGGGAATCCCCCACTCAAAGCACAGCCGCGTCCAAAGACCGAGTGACTGTTGCTTCTACCAACTTGGTAAAACATAAATAGGTACATTATCATATGTAGGGTCCCCCTCCCAGGAGCCTACCTTCCTATATTATAGTTGAAGGTGTGTATATATATATATTGTATGATATATGATTCCAGTTGAAGGTGTATAAATATATAAATATATGGTATATATATATGATACACATATATATATATATACACATATGATACACATATATATATATATGATCTATATGGGAATTGCTATTATGTTCATGAAGCCGATCCGACCGTGGAACGCACCTCCGGCCCTGTAGGGTTTTAAGCGCTCCTGCGCCTGAGCGCCCAAGAGCTCGAAGCCCGGCGCAGGCGGCGGCGCCGACTCCACCTCTACGACATCACCTGCGGCTCGAAGTTAACTCAGCTGGGTGGAAAAATCCATGGGATTTCCATGGGATTTGCATCAGATTTCCATGGGATTGGCGAAAAATCGGATTTCCATGGAAAGCTGGGTGAATTATAATACTTCACCAACCTGAAATAAGGGGCTTGGGGGGCTATTCCCCACATAGCCATTTTTTGGGGGGTGAGGTCGCGTGAGGTCGTTATGATTCACCCAGACTCAGCCCAGTGGATTTCCATGGAATTGGTGTGGCCATTAACTCAGATGCCAGCGGATTGGTGAAATGATTTGTTTTTTTCACGAGAAAAAGAAGCGGCATCCTTTCTTGGTTGGTTGAGATCAAAGGGGCTTGGCGACAAACAAAAATCAGTGGCTTGGCACCATGCACTGACCTCGATGCAACGCCGACCTCTCGAGATGTTCGAGCTCTCAGTCTGAGTGATCTGAGGTCATGGGCACTGGGCAAGGCTTCTCGCAACTGATTTGGTGCGGCTGGGCCACAGTCGGCGCCATCCCCTGAGAGGAAGGGCCACCAAGAGCGCACCATGGGCTACGTGGCTCAAGCGGGGCTCTACGTGGCACCCCTTGTGCTCTCAACCGGTGGTCAAAGCATAAAAATGATTGCAACCAGAATGGCAACGTGATTTTATCACCTCGTTTCGCAAAACGTGAGCACGCCCGACATTTGAGGCTCGTGTGATGTTAGCATCTAGCATCAAAAAGCTGAGTCTCACATCTGCCAATCGCAAATTTGCTGAAAGTTCAACAAGTCAAGGTCCATTCCAGCATATCTCGCTGACCTGATTCGCCTGAGCCAAATGCTGACGCTGACACCTTTCATTGCGGCTGGAGGCTGTCAAGGCCTGGTTTGTTGCCACAACCTCTCGATCACTACCTGGGCTTTGCCTGACTGACATATTGAAAGCGAACCTTTTGCGGACGTTTCAGAGGTGAAAGAGACCGCATCTGTGCCTGCGTTACCAGTTGTATTGGCATCGTACCAATTGTTCCCAACGATTGATAACCCTTGTTGTGCTTCCTCTTGCCAACGTTAGCTTGTGCACGGCACCATATCTTTATCTTCATGATCAGTATCAGCCCAAGAACCCCTCATTCATCCTCCATCCATTTCTGGTTCACTATTGGGTGAGTAGTTTGTTCCAGCAGCCTCAGGCACGTCGCCAAAGGCCGAGGAAAACAAAGGTGTTCCGTCATCATCGCAAGCTACATTCGAACCTTGTAGCCAGGTGGATATGCAAAGCACATAAAACAAATAAGCGCAGGCCTTCATTTTGATTTCATTGTATCATTTGAAACATGAGTAGGCCAACCAATACGCGGCTTCTTGGCGCACAAGCAGCTCGGTGACCATCTCGACATGACCAAGCCAACTGATCATGGCCGCTAACCATTGCAGGCATTTGTTTAGTGAGTTGCGACATGTAACATGCATCCTAACTTTGCTGCTGGCCTATTGCTGCGCACGCTTGTTTGAACATGCATAGCCAGCGCATGGTGAAAACGCCGTGTCAGGACAAAACATTGCCGAGCAGAACATGGCCGCAGTCTGATCCCCCAATGGTCAGGGGGTGGCAACGTTCTATCTTTGGTCCGCTTGGTGGGAGGCAATCCACACACCCAAGGGGCTCCTCTTTTCGGCCACGTGTCAGGGAAGCAACACAACACGTGAGCTAATTCATTACTGCGGAACTCGGCATCACAACACAATCCTCTCGCCCTTTCTCCAAGTGAGCACGCTCCGCACACTCCGCGAACGCCGCTTCAAAGAGAAGCGGATAGGCCCCGCTGCCTTCAGCTGCGCGCCTCGGCAGAAGCTACGCTGATGGGGTCTTGACATGGTTGGCAGGTTGACGTCAGCATCAGCACCAATGCCAACATCGCGATGGCGGCGACAGCAGCAGAATGACCAAACTCGAGACTTGCTTTGAACCCTCCGACCTGCACTGCACTGTGACAAATAAGCCGACTGACGACTCACGCGTAGCTTCAAGATATCTCCTCTCCAAAACCTCGAGATTTGGAAAAGCCACACAGACCGTTGCATCAAGGGTGCCACATTAGATTTGGACGAAAAGCCGCAAGACCAGCCCATTGTGTCTGGAAGATTGACCCAAGCCCACTACTTGAAGTGCTTCTACACAGTAGCCCACTTTTGCGGAAGGCAGATGTCCGAGAGCGTAGGATTGTGGACAAACATGTCATTCTGATTAGCTTGTGTACCTTAGCTTGTTTCGCCCAAAGTCAAGCAACAGGTCCAGCCCGTGTTCCTCTCAAACTCACCTTGACATTGCTCCTCTCTCTCTTTCTCTCCCTCTCTCGCAGTCCGCACTTTGCCTTCCGATTGCATGAGAGAGAGGTTCTGTGTGTCTGAAAAATCGGGGTGCCAACAACGGCACTGTTCCAGTGACTGGAGGCCAAGTGGCTCTCAACAAGTGATCGGGGAAGATGGCCTGCCCAGCCCAGTGCTGATATGTAGCTCGGGGAACTGCAGAAGCTTCGTGAATATTCGATGCATTGTCCACCTTAAAAATCGTCCCAGCTGCATAATCTGCGTGCACTTGGGTCGGTCGGCACTGAGTGCGAGCGAATGTCCGAACATTCAACTCACTGATATAGAAAGTCGTGGGTCAAAAATGAATGCCCTCCCTGCTGCCAATAAATCCGTGGATCTGTGGAAATAGCACAGCCGACGCGGCTGGCACCCGAGCTGTGAGTCCGGGCCAAGAACGGTTTGTTGCGTGAAATGTATCGCGGGTTCCCCCCCCCCCCGCATGACGATAATCGCCTGTCGCCTGCAATCTTCAGGGTGGGGTTCCATAGTACTCAGCCATGCGGTGCTTTCTTTCTGCAAACCAACTATAGCCCTGATCCTGGGCATCATAGTTCCTACTTTTTCATCTATGTAAGGTGGAGATGACAGCTCAAACCAGCTGGTGAGACAGCCCAGTAACCTGTCGGAGGGTCTCATCACGATTGAAGCAGTACAAACAAGCAAAGCTACTAGGCACTTGAGCGGGGGATCTTATCATTCGGCAGGCATGTGTGTGCAGTGCTGAGCAGATGCGCTTAAAAAAAGGGTCTTACCAGTTGGTAGCCGTGTGCACAGTGCTGAGCAAGTGCACTTGAGCTGGGTTGCTTATCATTTGGCAGGCATGTGTGCAGCGCTGAGCGAGTGCGCTTGAGCGGGGGTTCCTATCAATTATTTGCTAGCCTGATAGAAATCCCGGCGGCCTAATCACAATCCGTTATCCGCTTCATCCTTGTTCTGGTTGGTAATCTGCTTCACCCGCAATCCTCGCTACAATTTGTGAGTACAAACCGCATGTTGGAGCGTTGAACACCCATGTAACTCCTAATCCGTAATCCGCATGGTCTAATCTGCAATCCGCTAATCATTGGGGATTAGGTTTTGAGCAATCTAGATTTGGCAGGCGTGTGCGCAGGGCTGAGCGGGTGCGCTCAAGCGGGGTTTCTTATCAGGTGGCAGGCAGAGTTGAATCAGCGTTTTCGTCATAATGGCACCCATAACTTGAATGAATATGAGGAAAACCCGGCTTATACATGGATGCTCTGAACTCTGAACATTCAGAATTTACTGGCCACTCAATGTTTGTGAAGGAAGGTCAAACACACAGCGCAACACAAAAAGGTGTTGCTTTCGTAATGCTGGCCCCGGCGAGTGAAGTGAAAACGCACTCAAACTCATACCGATTCGATTTGCAGAATGGATCAGGGCCTACAGTGAATTTGCACTGATCAAATCTGCGGAACTGCTGGGGGCCGCCTCTGAACCCATACCCAACTCATCTCCAGCACCCATAGAGCCTATCTTCGGCCTGACCTAAACCCGCAAAGTTCAAGTCTGCAGCAGCGAAAGGAGCCTACAAACAAATCCGAGAATCTGTGATTGTGTCCCCGTTGCCCACATGCTCTCAGCCTCGCATGCGCGGCTCGTCTTGCTTCAGAGGACGCATTACTGGCAGAAAATGGTTGGGTTCAGAAATCACGTATCGCGTGCCAAAGCCAGTCTTCTCGAATCGAAAGCACAGAGAATAGCTTTCTGGCAAAACGCCTTCGACGCACCGACTCATGGGATGGTTCTTGGACTCACAGACTCACCCATTCAGCCGAGTTTGATTGAAACTTTGGGGACCACTGGCCATTTGTGGCGTGGGGGAAGGAAAATCAGGGGATTCTAAGGCGATTTCTGGTCAAACAGATCGAGCAGAAGGCTACCAATCAAAGTCAGTGTTCCAATTAATTGTCAAACTGCCGAAGATAGGCTGTAAGGATTCGATGGTACAACACAAAATAGCTGTTCAACATTGCATCCACACAACTTGAGAAGCAGGAAACCAAAACAAACATATACTGGCAAAAGGGGGAAGTCTAGCATGTGTCAAACAATGTCCTGTTCAATCAAGCACGAACAGTGCTGCTGGAACAAACAAAAGTACTTGCTGACGCTGGCTCACAACAGCTTTTATCGCGATCCCATTCGGATGCGACTTGCATTATTGCAATTTGCCGTTACCAATGGCGACCTTTCTAGATTCCGCAGCTTGTTGCAATCCCTCAAATCAGGTACCAAAAGAAAAAACAACGGATTGCCAAACAAGAGCCCTCGGCGATGGCACGGTTGATCGAAAATTGGCGCGCGCAGCTGCGCGTGCGAAGATTAACGCCGAATGCCCAGGCAAATCCTCGATGCTAGGTGTGCTGCAATCTGCTCGAGCCTGAACGGCCCGGTTGGGATGGTATTAGGCATCCACATGCTCAGCTTGCAACCGCTAGTCCGGGGAGTGGAGGGATTTTGAACCCTCCAGATCGTGAGCGGAAAGGCAGAGCCTGAAAGAAGTCTTGAGCCTGGCAAGTCACAGAAACTCTGCATGCAAACTAGCCGCTGTTGTGAAAGAGGGCATCAAGGCGGCCACCACCCATTTTGCAAAGCACGGAAGCTATTGGACTTTGTCATGATTGTACTTTGTTCAGGAAGACACGAAGAATGTGGACTAAAAAAACTTGCGCTTGGTTCCCTGATGCATCCTTTAATGAATCTTTCACTCTTCAAATGGTCAAATAAATATATCTCTCATCCATGCTTTATGACGCCTGGCACAGAGTCCTCTTGTAGGAACAATGTCTGGGAAAGCTCCGGTGTCACATTGGTGCGATTGGGGTCAACAAACCTTTCTTTAGTTGGCACGAACTGCAAAGAGAAGGCTACCCCCAATATGGTGATGCAACATGCGGCAGGGCATCAGAAGCATCACGCATAAGACCTTCTCGGAAGCAGCCAAATGTGTGCAGAACAAATGTGTATATGTATATATATATATACACACCCATAATATATATATATACATACGCCATCTGCTCAGCTCAAGGTCTGCCAGCACGCTTGGGGCAAGCGCTAAACTGGCTTCGGAAACAAAATTGGCCAATTTGCTCAATGTTTGTAAGTCCAAAGACGTAGCCAAAAGCCAGTCGGTTTGCAGAGACACACGCGACTCTGCGGGCTAGCGCAAAGGTTGAGTGCATCTTCGATACTGCCTGACAGCGCTGCAGCAGTGCTGCACGTCTGGCAATGATCTGAATGTCCCGGATTCAGGACTTACTGTATCCTGCAGCCAATGTGGGTTCATTTGGCCTGCCTGAGTAAACAATTTCTTCGATTGGTCGGATTGAGTTCTGGGAGAACAAACCCCCAGAGCCCAAATCTCGCAAAAGCCGACCAAGATAACGTTCGCAGGCAACATAAACGCACTCATTGTTGCAGGCGGAAAAAAAGGCCTGTCTTGACGGCTGATCTCAAGTGAGTGCCTGACAAACCTTATTGAGAGCGAAGCAGCTTACATACTGATGGGACCACTGGAGCGCACGACGGTACCTATGCCGCAAAGGGCATGTTTTCTAAATATGCATACTTGTGCACACATATATATAATCTAGGTTTACATGTGCGGGTACTTGTCTGCGTTGGACATAATTTGCTTCTTAACAAGAGTCCTAGACACACCTAAAGTATCCCTTCACTAAAAGCAGCGGGTAGCTAGGACAAAGCTACGAAAAGGATATGACTCGACCACACAAAGTAAACCATCTGTATCAACTGATATCAGCTGTGGTCAGGTCGACAAGCTGGCCGACTTGCCCTGAGACTTGATGGTGCGTATGCATGCATATGCCCGTTGGCCGCTGACTCATGCATGCTCGTCATGCCATCATGCCAAACTGCTATGTGTCATGAGACACGAAGCCACGTACGAGGACAACACATGTACACATACACATGCTTAAATATATACCAACATGTGCTCTCTATCTCTTATATACTGCTTGTCCGCCAAACCAACCGCCTGGAGTAAATATGCAGTTTTCAAATTTGAACCACATATGCTTGGTGGTTTTTAAGCGCAAAGGGTTGCTCAGAACTCCTGTCGCAAACACACAAAGTAAGAATGGCCATGCTCTTCACACAATTTGTATCTTCCCAAGTTTGCGGGGGGACCCCTGAAAGCCTGAAGTGCGGCTTGCACAGCACCAACTCAAACCCAAACAACACGACGTTCTGATGTCTCTGTGGCTTCAAGCATGCCCATCCTGTCACGGCAACCTGGTCATCATTAGACATACAAAGCGCTTCATTGTTCAGGCAAGATTCAAAGATTGACGGAATGGCTCCAGTGCTCAGAATGTAAGCTGCTTTCGCTGAAATGAAACTGCCGAGGCTCAGAGGCTCAGGGCTGTACCGACACTAAGGAGCATCACTCGAAACCTCAGATCTGTTCAATGCCCTCGGCAAAAACCCAAGGACTGTTCTGGGTGCTTCGTTCCTGCTTGGCAAAGGGGTTTTGGATGTTGGCAGCTGCAAATGATTGACGGCCTCCGCAGGAACAATACGTGTGAACAGTTTTGCATCATTCGACCTGCTTTCAGACATCCACCCATCGAAGGGAAGTAAACCCAAAACCAAGGGCCCAAGTTGTGTCATGTGTCATAGGATATATGGGGAGATAAATTGGGGTTAGCCCACTTCAACAAGCAAGATAGATGGACTTCCAATGTAACATAGCCACAACACGGTGCTAAAATCCAGAACAACATGGTGGCCTGATCATGTGAAGACTTGTGGGGTGTGTTGCCATTTGAAGTGGAGACATTGGCAGAGTTCAGAGCCAACCGCGGTAACATCTTGACAAAAGCACGTTGCCTGTCAATGGTCAAAGACTGCGTTCCCTCAAAATTGTTCAACTCTTGTTGACTTGTCATTCTGAGACTGATGCACCACGATTCAGGACTGCAACCCCAAGTCAATCCCAAGAGAAGAGCTGCTGATGATAATAGCGCCAGAGCCCAGCTGTTGGGGTACATGTTGCTAGCGTCCTTGTCGGAGCCAAGCCCCAGTCATGTGGACATACTGCCTTAAAGCTTGGACTATCGGAGGGAGGGACCGGGCAGACTGGGAATGGATCCAAAGGTCATCATGATGATCCTTCACTTCAAGCAACGCTCAACCAGCGCAAGTGCACAAGACCGCAAGTCGAGCTAAGGCAAAGAAAGGGTGCTTCTGCAGCATCAGGTGACCCAAACTGCCAACATCCTGTTCAATGCCCCATGGATTCCGCTGGTCAGCGGAATCCAACTCTGCATTCTCTCGCCCATGTTTGATGCCAAGAAGCACTGCGCTTTACGTCGGGCCCGCGTTTCAGATGGTAGTCCTCGGTCGCCAAACAAAATTGCAAAAGCATTCGCGTCAGGTAGGACAAGTTGCGTCTGCCTGCTAAAACTGGCAAGTGTCAATGATCTCAAAGTGCAAAGGGACATGGACCAAACAATTTTGCTCATTTGGCGGCCCTGCGAGGCTCCGGTTGCGCTTGTCCCATTGACAGCGATACGATCCTGAAACGGAAAAATACTTCAGTCGATTTAAAAAGGAAACGCGTCATGGGAATTCTATGTGGTATGCCTCTTCAGGCAAAACTGAGCCAGCCTAGATTTTCACCGTGTGGCCGGCATTCATTCCAGCTCACTGGCAGGAGCCAATGGTTTTGTGGTTTGGAAGGGTTTGTCTGCTCGAGACAAGGTCGAACCAAAGAAGCTCCGCCTAGAAAGTCACCACTTGTGGATGCAAAAGTAGTACGCGCGTTAGTCGAAGGGCCATTGCGAAAGTTCAGTAGTAGTGGTAGTAGTAGTGGTTAGTAGTAGTAGTAGTAGTAGCAGTAGTAGTAGGTAGTAGTAGTAGGTAGTAGTAGCAGTAGTAGTAGTAGTAGTAGTAGTAGTAGTAGTAGTAGTAGTAGTAGTAGTAGTAGTAGTAGTAGTAGTAGTAGTAGTAGTAGTAGTAGTAGTAGTAGTAGTAGTAGTAGTAGTAGTAGTAGTAGTAGTAGTAGTAGTAGTAGTAGTAGTAGTAGTAGTAGTAGTAGTAGTAGTAGTAGTAGTAGTAGTAGTAGTAGTAGTAGTAGTAGTAGTAGTAGTAGTAGTAGTAGTAGTAGTAGTAGTAGTAGTAGTAGTAGTAGTAGTAGTAGTAGTAGTAGTAGTAGTAGTAGTAGTAGTAGTAGTAGTAGTAGTAGTAGTAGTAGTAGTAGTAGTAGTAGTAGTAGTAGTAGTAGTAGTAGTAGTAGTAGTAGTAGTAGTAGTAGTAGTAGTAGTAGTAGTAGTAGTAGTAGTAGTAGTAGTAGTGGTAGTGGTAGTAGTAGTAGTGGTAGTGGTAGAAGTAGTAGTAGTAGTAGTAGAAAGCAGAAGAAACAGCAGTAGTAGCATTAGTGGTACTAGGGCTAGTAGTGGTAGCAGTGGTAGCAGTGGTACCAGGTAGCAGTGGCAGCAGCCGTAGCAATCGCCGTCGTTGTAGCAATGGTCGTGGTGGTAGTCATACAAGGACTAGTAGTGGTGGTCGTGGCAACAGTGGTGGCATCAGTTGTTGTTATAGTAATGGCAGCAGCATGAGCAGTCGCAGTTGTAGTAGTGGGGGTGGTGATAGTAGTGGTAGTGTGGGACCTTGTTTACTGTGAGCCCCCCCCCTTTTAAATAGTTAAAACAGTGCTCGCGGATCCTGAATAAGGATCGGGCAGGGAACTTGCATCACTTCAGCATTGCCAGCACTTCCTTCTGGGTTGCCACTTTGGTTTAGTATTGCCAGCAACCCCCTTCGCAAGACTGTTCTGGGAGAGTTTTTGGATGGATTTAAGTACAGGATTTTGATGATTGGGGCTTGGGATCAAACCAGGAATTCTTTGGCTCAGGTTTTCACAGATGTTGCAGAGTTTTCACGAAAACGGTTGCCCATGTTGCGGATTTTGCTCGGAGTTGTTGGACTGGGATTTTTCGGGGTCTGAACTTGACATAAAATGATGGTACCGAAACAGTGGGAGCGGGGGGGAGTCGTGTTCAAGCCGGGAAAACTTGACATAATTCAGACTACCGATATTAAACCAGGCGCAACATTGCTAGGACTAGTAGCGGTAGCAGCGGTAGCAGTCATAGTCGTAGTAGTCGTAGTAGTAGCGCTAGTAGTAGTTGTAGCAGTCGTGGCAGCAGAAGCAGCAGGAGTTTCGGAAGTTCGCAAGTTGGCTTCCTACGATGCAAAGACCTCAATTTGAAACTTTATCGGCGTAATAGTCTGCTGGTCCTTCACACGCGATAGGCCTCACATGGGCGGAGTGCCCCAATGCATGAGGAGGGATGTGGTTGTGGATAGTTGTCTTTTCAAGAAATATATTTGCATTGTCCTGAGGCCAGCAAGTGTTGAAAAACGTAAAGTTCAGCAACCACATGCTCTGTCACCAAGGTATTTCGTGATGATACACCACCCATATGCGCTTCACAATCATTGGGTGCCAACAAACTCATGTCTGAACTTCATGTGGGGTGTGCACTTTTGCGAGCCCGCCATCATGTTCCAGATTGGTTCCGGTTGCAAGAAACAAACAGGGCTGGGGACTGTCTAAGTGAACGTGTGCTGTATTGTTTCATTATCTTCGTATATAATTCTATGTATACTGTTGCACTGATTCCTTGTTGTGTGGTATCTTTGACTACATCGTAGTGCCGCATTTGTTATCCTATCACTCTATTTGGTATATATGATGGATAGTAGTCTACCAATTTAAACGGTGCACTGTTGTATCATTTATCACAGTATGTGGTTTACTCATACAAGCATATTCACAACCGTCTGGGTTGGATGTTTACATGTTCGTGGCACTTTTATTAGTGGCAAAACATATTTAACTCCGCTTAACAGCTAAACCTTTCTAGTCCAAAAAAACATATCAAGTAAGAGACTCAACCTTCAATTGTGAGATTTGTCTGCCTTTCTACTTTACTTGGCATTTGTGAATGCGAGTGATTGGTACATGTAAATGCATGCGGAATACCAGTTGATAGGCCTAGGGTGGAGGGTGAAGATGCTAGAAGGGGTACTAACTTATATATCCATGAATCAAGACTCATATAAGATATGAACCTTTGTGTTGCAAACCCGTGTGACATTTTTTATGCTCCAATATATGGTATATATTTGTATATAAGTATGACTCTCTGCTCGGAGCATGTTACTCATTGATTTCAAATGTACCCGATGACATCCAAACATAATGACATTATATTCAAATATAATCAGATATGGTCTTTTCACTGGATCAGCATTGCCCAAAGCCAAACACCAAACACAACTCGAGAAAGCCATAAAACAATGAATCAAAAACACAAACCAGGCAGCACCTTCTTCCAGAAGTCTTGGCAAGCGGCTACTTATGGCTACTGGTTGAAAAAAATGTAAGGATTGGTTCCTGTGGCTTGGTTTTATCACAGTTCTTGTTATGTTTTCGGTTTTGGGCTGGTTTGATCCAGTGGAAAAACTGTCTGCGAGTTGAGTTTTGGTCGTGTTTCCCTTTGTTTTGGGTTTTGGCTGTTTTGTTTTCTCAAACTACGATCTTTCACACTTGGTTTACTGTATATCTATGGGTACACAGAGTTGCGGAAAGAAATGGAACTACACAAATGCGCTGGAACACCAGAACATACAGCAGTTGTCACAGTAGTTGAAACTAATGAAACAAATCCAGCACAGTCCCTGGTGGTTGTTTTCCAACATTCTGTTTCATGATTTACGTGTTGTTAAAATATGTAGATATAATTATGAATGATATGTGTATGCCCACAGTGTCTGCCTAATCAATGCATAACTATTATTATAAGGATAAAACGCGTCTAAAATAACAACGACACCGGCATCAGAAGCGCGCTGAAACACGCAGTATTAATATGCTTCAACAATGCGCGGCACTAAGAGACCAACTTCTACTGTTGATGTTGCCAAAGCTATTCACGTGTCCATTGTCACTGTGATTGCCGTTGACGTTGTCGTCATATTCCTCGTCGTCCGGGGACGTGCTGGTCGTGTGGTTGTGGTGGCTGTGGGCACGGTAACGGTGGCGACAGCGGTTGCGGTTGCAGTTGCGATTGCCGGCTTTTGTTGTTGTGGTTGTTGTGGTTGGTGCGAACGAGTCATCGTTGATTGATCTTGCTCCGGGTTCGACACCAACGATCAGGTTCCGACAAACGCTCCGTGTTGCGTTGGTTCTCGAGGCTATCAAAGACGACCTGTTTGACCATTTCCGACCGCAGAGCCCCCCAACCACTGTGATCAACATGTGAAAGGCTGGGTAGCACGTAACTGGACCTGCGCGCAAAATGAGGCAAACACGTTCGTGTCCCTGACGAGAAAAGCATGTGGCTCGGACAACACTGCCCCCCAAGGGGTTTTTAAGCAAACCAAGCAGCTGATGTTTGGCACCTCGGCAAAACATAATCTTGACGATTGATCCACAAGGATGCATTGTTTTCTTCTGAGGTTGAAACGAGCACGACTTGTTTGGAGACTTGCGGCATGTCTTATTCCTTAGCTCGAAAAAGGACACGTGTTCAACAAGTGGCCTAGGAGCATAGGAGTTTTTTTGGGAAAGCAGATGGCCCTCGTAGAACTAAGCCATGGACTAAAGTGAGCAAAGCGAACTTCGTGCGTCGCCCGAGGTTTCATGTCCCCTCGCTTCGCTGGGCCCTCAGGCAGCCAGTCGCTGGGCAGATTGACATGTGCCGGCTCCAGGTCCTGGCCATCGGCCAGGGGAGAAAAGTGGTGAAAGGAAAACCTTTTTGGTATGTTCCCCTTGGGCTTTGGGGCTTTGGCACGGAAACCTTGTGGCAATGAAACACGAAAAAGAACATGTTTGTGAAGCTTTGGGCTTTGGTATGCTCCGAACCCTGCCATGGGGTGCTGTTTGGGTATCTGGTTTACTCGGCACAAGTGAGGGATTTCAAGGAAAGCCACGCATTCACTCATACTGAAGGGATTCCCCAGATGAGCCTGGTGGACACCAGAAAGAAAAAAACAACGGATTTTTATGGCCGCAAGAAAAAGCGCATTGTGAGGGGGGTACGTAAATACCGAAATGTGTTTCTTGTTTGCTATTATCATTATAGATATCTGGACTGCCCTCAGATCCGCTCAAACTTTAACTTGTGGGCGAAATGGACACTACCAAACACTAAGAGGCTAAACAGCTAAGGGGATGGCTGGGAGCCACCAAGATATAAGGGGCCTCTTTGAAATATGAGCTCCTCGACATGCCCATGCAGGAGCATGTGATGCTCCCCTCCGGTCGTGGTTCTTCACCTCGCTCTCCGTGTCAGCACGGCGCGGAGGTTCTTTCATGGCCGGCAATCCAAACAGTGTACCCAACCAACACTGTACTCCTGCAGGGAAAAAGTTCAAATGTAAACTTGACAATCATGCCAGTAGATTGTTTGGTTGGATTGGACTAGCACGTTGAGCAAGCAAACGGAATGAGCGTTGACCAGAGTTGCTTTCAAGAAGCCAAGCAGAGCTACTCCTCCAGCAGCTCAGTTAGCTATCGACCCCTTGATTCATGCGCGGGCCTTTCCCAGCTGTAACCCCTGAGTCAAAGATAAGACTAAAACCCCTTCCGAGAACATGAGAAGACTGTTGATTGACTAGATCTTGCAGCACGGATTGGGATAAACCACCTGTCAACTGGTGCGAGAGGTTGTGCATCAACAGGATTCCCCTTGGGTAGCAAATGGCCTCTAGCATCACGGGTGGCGGGTTGTGAGGAGGCAGATGGCCTGATCTGTTCAACCTTTTGGGGCTCGCAAGGGGCACTTGTGGGCGAAGAGCAACCTGGTCAATCCCACATAATCCCACATACAGCACATGCAGGAGTCGCAAATGCCTAAGGGAGATCCCTGACCTTTCAAAAGTGGCCCCTTGCTGCGTCAGACAGGCGTCGCGACCGAGGTGCTTTCAGCCCGCCGATGCCCGAACCCGCACAAGGTCACTCTTTCGCGCGATTCATGTTCCCTCGCCACACGCCCACTTATGTTTTCTTGCACTCATTCGTTCATCTGAGAATCTTATCAATTTACCTTCAAAAAGTGTTCATACACGGAAGTTCCTTTGTATCAAACCAAGTAGTATCCGGGTGGTTCACTTGTCGCGTGACAATGGCAACTCAATGACCATCCACCCCATCCGGAATCCAGGTTCTTCAGGCCAAACTGGGACAGGGACCCATTTCATCTTCCATTCCCCAAAAAGGTGAGTTCCTGTCAAGGTTGCGACTTTCAGGGACCTGAAAAGGCTTGGACCCAAACCCAACTTGTGACTAGCTGTAGCAAAGACAGGCTCGGGAAGCAATTTTCCACCAAAACTCGCTACTGGAAAGCGCCGTAGGCAATTCAATCAGTGATACGTGCGTAGATTCCCGTTCAAGCAACAGGAAACGTCAATCACCAATACCTCATTTAGCCCCTTGAGAAAACAAAATGCCGCTGTTGTGGTATGTGTGCTTAGGCGTTATGTGTGCTTAGGTGTTGAAAGCTTTACTAGGTCCTCCAGTGGAGAGGTTAGAATAAGGGTGCCCCTTTTTTCTATAGTCTATTTTAGTACGGGAACCCTCCCCCCAAAAAGTTGGTAGAAGGGCACTACTGGGGGACCTAGTTTAGATTCTCTCTGAAGATAACTCCAAGCACCAGCTCGGTCCTCAGCGCTGATGGTGCTGCTTGTGCTGGAAGCGCTCGAGTGGGCGGTCGTCCAGGACGAGGAAGATTTCAGGGGTCCTACAGAAAGCAAGACCTGGGTGATGCCTATGTCTATGAGCAAGCAAGGCGACTAAGTGTCTTTGACCCCTCCCAAAATAAAACAAACAGGCCGTATTCCAACAGCCCGGAACCATCTGGGACTTTCTGGAACCCTCCCTGAGCTGCCCCAAATCAGCCTAACTTGCAGCTGCTGAGAAAAGCCGTATGTTTTGTAGGGCTCAAACATGAAAGTTCTAAAGCTATATTGTGCATGCAAATGAGGAGGAAACAAATGAGGCAACCAAAAGCTTTTGTTGTTAATTCCGTTGCTGGTTCTTTGGGGGTGTGTTGCAGTACTATTCATTGAAAGAAATGAAATGCTGACAAGTTCGGACAGCATGTTGCCTAACAGCTTCTGCCAGTGCAAGCCCCTCAATTGTGTTTCTCAACTTTGCTTCAACAAGTACCCCTGCAGTGCCACAAAGCGTGCAATTGTTTTTGTCGGGGCGGTCGGGCCGGGCGGCTCATCTTACCTTCAAGCAGTGCTGAAGTACAAACAATATCAAATCTCAGCACAAAGCCGCAGCAATGCAAAGGATACCAACCACCATGGAATATCCAGTCTACTCTCGGCAATCCTGAGCAATACTGCAATACTTCATGTATTGATTAAATTCCAAGGACGATTTTGCTTTGGTCCTCCATAGGTGAAGGCGGGAAGGAACGCTCACCCTTCCCACTTCCCTCCTGAGTAGGCCTGCGCTAGAGATGGCAAGACCTTGGTTTCGCGCACGCCCAATGCTTGCAGGGGGAGGCTGAGGCCAACATGTACCTAAACCTAAGCACTATTCAGCTGAGTGGACCAGTGGGGCAGAACGTGCTCGGTCTACATCAGATAGCCCTCGTTCAAGCAAGTTGCAACAAGTGCCTGACACACAGACCTGTCAAACGCAGAAACACCTCGGCACAACTCACCTGCCTGGGAGCAACGAGGGTGAACAACCTCTATGACCTAGCTGAAATTGGTCACACCAACGGAATTCAGAAATTGTCAAAGTCCGGCCTCCTTCAAATGACAATGATCCAACATGATTGTTCCACCCGAGCATACGCAACGATCGGAAGCAGTTTACAAGTTCTTGGCAGGCAGGTGGCAACACTGACATTGGGATACAAGAAAAGTGGTAGGAAACTGCCGAGGTCATTGTCATCCACGCAGCTTTTAAGTACGAGTAACTTGATGGTCACAGAAAGATGTATTTATTGACACCTCATGACAACGATTGAAGGCTCCATGGAAGCAAAGGAGCCGAAGTTTCGGCCGTCTGGCCGCTTTGGGTCCATTGTACTGGATGCTGGCCAGAACGAGACTAGTTTGCAAGCCTAGGGGTGGCCAACCACTCTGGTGAACAGCTCCGAACTTGGCACACGATGTTTGGGCTGATGCCTTCAAACAGTAATTTGTTCATGCTATCTGCCCGCTGCGCTACATGTTTATGTCTATGTGTCAAACATAGCAACACGTCGCATGGATCCATCAAAAGCATAGATGTAAATGCTTCATCATGCTTCATCAATTGCTGCCTTGCACAAGTGGCCCATCAGCAGCAACACGTGAACGCACGTTGAACCGCGCACGATACCCAAATAACGCATCAATGAGTAAGGAATGTGTCCGGATGTGTCCAGTTCCAACTGTTGGGAAGCGACCCAAGCCAGCAACAGCCGGCGATCACCAATGCTTCCAGGCCAGGTGCAAAGTTGTCCTTCGGCAACTCGAAGTGCGTTCCGAACTGCGCTGCCTGAGTTGGGATTTGCAACATCCAGCAATCCTTGATCGTTCCGCCAAGTGTCGTGATGTTCCTCGTTGTAGTGGCGTCCCAATATACTGTTTCAAGCCACCAGCTAGGCAACCTTTGTCGGCCTGACGCAAATAGGACACCCTCTTTCCAACAATAATCATTTAAACGGAGGTTCGGGAAGCCTGCGGTCATCTTGAAAAGGCTTCTTGACCGCTCCCATGATTGATGGACACAGGGCGGACTACTTCTATGCAAGGCGGGCAAAACCCAAAAGAACAAAAAACGAAACCTATGACTTAAGACTCATAAAAAAAAGTCAAGCATGCGGTCGAAATAGACATTGTTGCTTCTTGCCGAATAAGAGAGTTATTCAAGGCGCCAATACAAGTCCTCCGTACACCCTAAACTCACCAAGCACTTGAATAGCCAATTAGTGCCTGAAGCGACTGATGTGGAGGCGTGTTGAAACAGCAGCCACCACTTTGGATCTAAGCCTTGAAAAACCACATTGGTCAAACTGCTTGCTCGGAACATGTTTTTGCCACTTCAACGGCTGGTGTTGACGACTCCTCAATCACCTCCCTTAATTGAAATAATGTGTGTTCTCCCATGACTGGGGATTAGGGGGGTTAATCAATGTTTGCCGACACAACAGGCAGGATCTGCCTCTTTGTGTCGCCTAAACCGGTCTGGAGTCTTGACGGTTCTCAGCTTCTTAATGTTGACCCAGGATAAATAAACCCGTCCCATTATTAGAGGAGTGTTCCCTCCAAAAGTGATGAATCCCCACTAAAAGGGGACACCCCCCTTTTTATCAACCAGGGGTTTATTAATCCGGGGTTCACATTTTCCCGGATTTGCGCATCAACGCATTATGATAGCCTTCTCCAAGCAGTCAGTGCAAGGTATGAGCTGTAATGGTTCAGAAGCCGGCGGAACGTGGCCTGCGTGGCAGCGGCAGTTTGTGAACTTTACAGTTGCTCCCCAACGTTCTTGGCGGCAAATTACCTGTCCAAATATGTAATGTGCTCTACAAACGTCCAATTGCTCTGAACATGAGAATATGCGCTGTGTTGTGTGATCTTAAGTTTTCAAAGGCAGCCGGCGAATATTTGCATGTTTTGTTGACTCGTTTTCCATAACTTTGAATCAAAGTGCCAACCAGTTGAGCTTTATTCGTGCAATCTGTGGTTGCGGGTTTGTCTCATGGAAGCTGCACTGACGCTCGCCTTCAAGGCAACCCGACATGCAGCGCGACCCACACATGGCCGGATGTTCGGCTTTAAGCGAACCGAGCATTGCACAGAGGGACCCGCTTGCTTTTGGGGCACTCTCAACACGATGTTGGCCATGCATGACATCTTCGCCACTCTCGTCCTCTCACAGCATGCAAACAACTCCCTACCCTCCAAGTGTTCAGCCTCCGCAAGGAAATCTTGAGTCGGCAATAATTATAACAACCAAGCAACAACATGTCCCCAATCCCTGTGAATGCCGCATTTCTGTGTGTGTGCGACTTGTGTAAGCGGCTCCCTCAGGAGCTGAGCCGGGGATTGCCGAGCCACCAACAAACTCAGAGGTGGATCCTGCGAGTGCCGGAAGGCGCGGCTGTCACCAATACACAACAAAACACACACACACACACACACGCACATATATGTGTACAATATATATATATATATGCAGCGTCCCCAACCCCCCCCCCACCCATGGTCAAGGTCATACGGGTAGCCCCCCCTCCCCTTGTGGTCCTGTGGTGGTGCTGTGGTTGGGTTGTGCAGTGTTGGTTTGGATAAGGATGGTCGAGGGTTGGTTTAGGGTTGGACTAGAGCTGGTCTAGAGCTGGTCTGGAGTTGGTTTTACATGGGTTTAGGGTTCTTTGTGCTCCACTTAGGACTGACTCATTGTTGGATTGCTCGGGGGGGTAGGCACACGGGACACGGTACCATATTTCCATGTATATATAAATATACATATGCACCCCTGCCCAATGGACCTGCGTTTATGGCTCGGCGGTTTGGTGGCTGTTTAGATGTTACTGGTGAAGAGCGAGACCGTTGGGAAAGTGCTGGCAATTGGCTGCCTTTGGGAATATGCTTTAGTTGGACTTGACATGCAAATAACTTGCAATGTGTATGAAGAAATGCATTGCTCGGTTGATTGCAACAGCACCTCTTTGTAGAGAAATGCCTGCAAATAAGAAAGATCCGTTGAATGTGCATGGCCAAAATAATTGGAATTTGCAAGGAATCCGATAACTGTCCAAGCAAACTCTTCACACGTGATGGATCAGCAGCACCTGACCAGCAGGAACATATGTTGAAATTGTTCCAACATTTTCTGAGGCCTGGCCTTCTACGAAAAAACTCCGATCTTCCATCTTAGATCGGACAACTTGCAGGTTCGTTGAACAGCTTTGCACTTTTGGTACAAACATGTTGATAATGTACCCAACTTGGTTGCTGCGAAGAGTGCCCAGTTCGACCCTATGGAGGGGACGCAATGCCAGGAACATGCAGTTCAGTACCATTCGCGTAGTTTTGGCCAGGGCGCAGGTGTATGGGGGAGCGTACCACATGCATACACAGCGTATGTATGTTTCTGTTACTCATCACTCTACTGTTGTGTTGGATTGATTTATGTAGGTGATTTCGTTAGTTTGTCCGTTAGCTAGCTAGCTAGCTAGTTAGCTAGTTGGTTAGTTGGTTGGTTTGTCATCATGTTGGGTATTTCTACATCTATATATCATGAGTTAGTTTATGTATGCATGGTGAATACATATACAGATACATATACAGTGCATAAAGAATCAAGCCGTCCAAGGCTGCCTCGGAACCGGGTGGCTTCGGGCATGTTCGGGCTCAGGTTCCGCGGGTTGCTGTTGGGGATAGTTGGGATTGTGCAAACCACTCTCCTTCCAAGAACCTACGAAACGCTCGAAGATATGTGGCATTTAGCATCTTCTGCCGCCACAAGAGTGCTTACATGCCATGAAAGCTTTGGCACCAACCAAATGCCACAGTTGCTTTTTCATCGTTCTAAAGCAGCCCAGCTGTTGGGTCATCCACCATGTTGTTCAGGCATGAGATGCAGAAACGCAAATGGGCGGTGCTAGCCTCTTGCACTTACGCGATTTTGCCTGTCGACCATAACCAAATCAGGATCGACAGCTCCCTCGGTTGTAGAAGCGGGTTAATGTTGACACCATATTAATCAACCCCTGTTCATTAAGAGGCGGGTGTTCCCCTCAAAAAGTGATGATACCTCACAAAACTCAGGGACACCCCTCTATTCATAAACTGTGGTTGATAAATATGGGGTCGACATTTTTCACGGTGGCAAACCGCCTTCAAGACCCAGACTCTCTTCAGAAGGCTTTCAGGTGAGCTCACGCGCAGTCCTGGCCCATCGGCACGAAGGCCGGTTGATCCATGTGCCTGGCGCGTCAGGAGGCCATCGCAGAAAGCGCGAATCCTTATGCACGGCAGCTACAAGGCCCCAAGCCACGAAAAAGATCAGCCCCAGCTATTGTTACACCTGTTACACCCCGAATTCGGAGGTACAAAAAAGGAGCTTTGCAAGTCAACACGATTGGCCCATGTGTTTTCCCAAGAGCTCAGTAGTGAATGATTCAACAGAACACATCTCGAGGCAAGGCTACTGGTATTTAGATTTCTAAATGCAGGTATTCAGACCCAGGAATCTTGAATCTTGGATCCAGGCTCTATAATATCAGTATTTAGAACTATGGCGCACCAAGGGTGTGGGGCCTCTTGCTGGTCACGCCCCACTCAAGTGTCAAGTCCAATCTGTTGGACTACAGCCTGCCAATCTCAATCCGGTTCAATGCTCATACAAAAGAAACGCAGGATGGCGCCGACCTTGATGGAACAGCTCAAGAGCTGAATGAACTTCAGGATGTTGGCCGTTGAACTTAAATGTGTTCCCGTTTTCATACAAAACACTTTATGGCTGATCCCATCAATTCAGCAAGCAAGCATCGCTAGAAGCGACGACCGGCCTTTGATTCAAATCTTTGCTGGAGAGAAGTAGAACCAAGGGAGGCACTAGACTGATGTATCCAATTCGACGTGTCTACGCGGCGGTCTCGCTGGATCCGAAAGCCACGCCTGCCCATGAGGAGCTCGGAAGTTGGCCATGGGGTGCCTGGGCAACGTGAAAAGGAATGAATCCTCAGTGTCTAAAGTGGGACCCCCCCCCCAAATAGCTGACTTCATGTTGGGTTCTCTTAAAAATGATAGCCTTAACACCAGGTATCCCCAGGTCACGGCTTAGGCCTGCCAAAGCGGCCCTGGCCATTTTGGCAATGGCCCCTGCGAAAGGCTCCTAGCACGGTGAATTCGTGGCCCATGTCCTCATGTTACAACGGAGTAACCGGGTGAGTCATCCTGCCACGCCGGTCTGGTTCATCCTTGACTCGGCCCCTACTTAGCTGAAGAACAATTACAGATGCGGCCAACTTAGGCAAGACGAGAAGTTCAAATGGCCTCCGCACGGAGGTTGGTTTGGCAGTTACTTGCTCTCCCTCACCTGCAGTATCGGCATCGTTGCATATATATATATATATATGTATGGCAAAACCTGAGTATGTCAAGTATATATGTGTATGGACATGCGATATGCATCGCGATATCTTTCTTCCACGCACCAAAGCCAGAGGAGCAAGCAACTGTAACTGACCGCCGGAGAATGCCATGTTACATGAACCAATGCAAAGGACAATCCATCAGCAACCGAACCCAGGAAGGACAGCACCTTCAGAATGTCAGCGCTGAAAAATAAGCATGGAATCAACTGTTGGCAGGGCGCGGCAAGATAAGTCAGAATGCGGACTAAACTTACTAAACCAACAAATACAGCAACAAGACGCTCTTATCTTATCCCGATAACCCTGAATGCATCATGTAGTTTCTCTGCTCTCTAGAGACTCTAGTTCGTTCCCCTGCCAATATATGAACCCTGTCAGTGACAAAGTATCACTTGGCACTTGGAATATGTTCTTAAAGATATCAATTAATCACTGCACCCATACGCACACAGTACTAGACTTAGGCAGCTACTAAACCTACCAAACAAACTCCCCACTAACACCCGCTGCAGTCGCATAAGGTGGCTCTCCAAAACAAATTGAAGTTCTATTGTAAGTCTGTGTATCGAAATACAACTTCAGATGCAAAATGAAACTGACAAAAACCATGTCGATTGCGCCTAACACACCAAATGCCTTAGCATTCCACTGCAGCTCCTTCAGCAAATTGCGCTTTTGATAGTTTTTGTTCCTGGCAAAGCCGGGACCCCTTTAAACGAGGACAAGAACGAGGACAAAAGCGGAAACCCCTGCGACTCCATTGGAACCTGTTGTTCTGCCGCGTTTTCACCTGGGAATCATTTCATATGGGGACCACACCTACTATTAAGAAACGGAAAACGGAGAAAGCTGCTTCAGAAGAGCCTTTGGAGGGCGGCTGCTGAAAAGGCAGGATTCAAGAAGTCGATACGGAAGAGACGGCCACAAAAGAAGCGCCGTTGCCTTTTCAGGGGCGGTTTGCAAACAGATGCCCCGCGAGCCGCGCCCCGTTCGGCCTCGCTCCCGCCCACTGGGAAGGCGGCTCATGGGTCCAAGCTGTGCGCCTGCGATCCCGAAACTTCATTTAGCTTCCCCTCTGGTTTGGGGATTTGAATCCCTGGCTCTTGTCTAGGTCCTCCAGTAGAGAGGTTAGAATATGTACACCCGATTTTTTGTGTAGTCTGTTTAAGTAGGGGAACCCTCCCCCAAAAAAGCGTAAAAGGGCACGACTGGGGGACCTAGTTGTAGAGGGTAAATGGGAAACCACTCCCTAACCACTAAACAAGGAGTGGTAGTGGTTAGGGAGTGGCTTTCTCGATTACCCTCTACAAAAGCCAGGGGTTCAAATCCGCAAACCACCAATCCAAACCACCATTTCTGGCTACCGGATTGGTGGTCAATCAAGCGGAAGGAAAAAACACACTGCAAATTGCGGCTGTTTGGATGGGTTGGGTTCACCATTTCGGGGACTCTTCCAAAGAAGCAAATAGCCCTCAAGGGACACATGCTCAATTGGCTGAGCCTTGATGAGGGGAGCAAAGGCCCTGGTCATTGTCCAAGCTTCCAGGGCCTCTTTTGCGCACAAGCCAGGATTCGAACGACTCGAAGATTCATGAACGAGACAAACCTAGATCATTCCATGTCCCGAAAGAGCGGCGCAGCTCCCTTGCAACCAACCAGGAGCACTGCCCTAGACAAAATGAAAATCACTGTGACTATGGCATCCTGCCATGAGACGCTATAATTCATCACAAGGGTGTCAAACAGAATAAGCCCCGCGATGAGACAAAGGGCCGGTCTGGGGATTCGGTGCTACCTGCAGGCAACAACGAATCCCTCCCGTGAAGGCTGCAAGGACCCAGGACCCATGACTCAACCGACACCTGGATTGAATCAAGCAAGGAAGCCTGCTTTGAGCCATATATATATATATATACTTATTTGTCCAAAGAATGTGGAGATTGAAGAAACAACGCCTAGCATCAAACGACCTAACTTGCCACATCTTCAAGCCAACAAATAAAAAGCTGTGCCAGCGCAAAATACCCGTGCAGGAAGAGTAATCAAGAGACCAACCTGCGGATAAAAATCTGATTTGGGCCACTGACAGCGGGGGCAGCCTGTTGCTGCAGCGGTCAGCAGCATTGCTGCGGCCGCCATGTTCTGGCTGGGGCCTCGCGGGCACCGGGGTGCTCGGCCGTGCGTCGGAAGAAATGGGACAAGCGTGGTGCTGGGTCTCTACGTGTGCGTCTGTGTGTGTGTGTGTGTGTCGCGTTAAAGTTAAACAAATGGAGGTGAGCCAACAACTGCATTGAGAAGCACTAGATGGTCCAAGGGACGGATGTATGAATGGAAGAGAAAGGCGGATGAAAAGTTCAAGTGGATTGCTCGATGGAGTGCTGTGTTGATGGGCCCGGGGGTGCCAGTTTGAGTGGGGTGATCGCGTGAGAGTGCTAAACAATGGGTGGGATTGATGGGTGGATGGGCGCACAAACAGCCCTGATGCATGGATGGATAGATGGATGGATGGATGGTTGGATGGATGGATGGATGTATGGATGTATGGCTGGATGGCTGGCTGGCTGGCTGGCTGGCTGGGTGAATGGATACGGGATGGATGCACGGATGGACGGACAGACGGACGGAGGGACGGATGGATTCATAAATGAATGGTTTGTTGGATGGAATGATGGTTGGATGGATGAAAAGATGATGGGTGGGTTTATGGATGGGATGGGATGGGATGTGATATAATGGATGCATGGCAGGCTAACTGGCTGGCCGACTGCCTGGTGGATGAATGCATGCATGCATGCATGCATGGATGGATGGATGGATGGATGAACGAATGAATGACTGGATGGATGGATGGATGGATGCAAGACCGCAATTCCGGACTCGTCTGGATTTGACCTGAGCCAACATGTTTGTTGACGATGAGCCTTTCTGGTCAAGGTGCACATCCTTCATCCGTTCAATTCATTGTGTTGTGGAGGCTGTAGCAACGTGTAGCGTCTACAGGGGTTTGCCGCAATTCCAAGTCACACACACACAAACTTGCGCAATTGCGCGTGCAAGTCGTACGTGTTTTACGCGCTCTGTGGAACACCTGCTTTGCTCTTTATCGACAGGGAGGATGTGGGGGCTGTTTTCGAGTTGGCCGCATGCACAACGTCGGCCAGCATCGCACTAGTGGTCAAGACCAACACTGTGGCCCTTACGCTGCCATCGCAGCACTTGCATGAGCCAGAATCAGCTGTTCACACGCGCAAAACAGGTGTTTTAGCAGCAT